GCTGGTCTCCTATATGTGTGCACAGACCGGGTCCCTGCGGTCCCCGCTTGCAGGCCTCAGCTCACCCCAGGTCAGGGAGCTCCTTCAAGTCAGTGTCCAAGGTGCACCCATCGTGTTCCCTCCCCCACGCTGAGCCCCATGGGAGAGTGCACAGAGAAGCGGCCAAGAGTGTATGTCAAATTGCACTGCCTTCTGCTCACTCTAGGGGTGAGCGAGCCAAGCCGCACATCTGTGTGAGCGTGTCTGTGGTCTGGGAGATGCAGGGACCCCGGGACCACCTGTCACCTTACCCCAGCCCTAGGGTTCTGCTTACAGGAGCTCAGGGGCAGGAAGCACAGAGAAGATGGGGGGGGGGGGGGGGGTTCGGGGATGGGTGGGCTTCCTGTGGCTGACAGGGGTGGGTGGGAGGAAGGACTAAGGGTTACCTGCAGATAGGCTCCCTCCACCCCTACCCCTCACTGCCCCCCAAGGCCTGTATGCAGGCATAATTTGTTCCTCAAAAAATCACAGAGATTATCCATGCTTCAGAACCTGGGGGAACGGGAGCCCACAGGAGCCAGGGCCCTCGGTGCCCTGCACCCCCACTGTGCAGCCTGCCTGCTGCCCTGGGCTGCCCCCTCCACCTCTGACTCCAGTGGCTTTTTGTTCCCTTAGTCTAGACACTGGGTTTTTGCTGGGCCCCCATCTCTGAGCCAGGAACTCCTGGTGTGTGTCTGGAAGTGGGCGGGTGGGGAGGGCAGAGAGGCTGGAGTTGGGGAGATAGCAATGGCCAGTAGAGGTGACATGGGCAGAGTCACTGTTCTCTGAGGAGGGGGTGGAGGTCAATCTTCAAGGTCCTCTAGCAGGAGCAGGAAAGCCTGCGGCTTAGGGAGGGGGCAGATGGGAAAGGGGAGGAGTTTGAGGCACCGGTCCCAAGATGCTCTGCCCTGGCATCTGGGTTCTGACTCTCCCTTGAAGGCCAAGTGCAACAAGCCCGGCTGTCTGTCTGGCCAACTGTGGTGATGGGGTGCTTCCCCTGGAAATGAGGGGTTGGGGGGGGCGGCTGTCTGTGGGTGTCCTGTCCACTGGCCAGGCTGGACTTGCTTCTGGGTGGCGCGTGGGGAGATGCAGGCTGGGGACCGGTGGGCGAGCCTCTGAACCCCCAATCGTGCACACACATACACCCCACAATCCCGCAGGGTCCTGTGCCTCTGCGGAGCTTGGGGTTCCTTAGCCTGCGTCAGATTCCTGGCTCCCAATGGAAGGTGCTCACAGCCACCTTCTGGCCCATGGGGGGCCCCGCCAGGGCACAGTGCCCTGCTGTGGGGCCATTAGATGAGGCCCAGCCCTCCCCATGCTGCTGGGGGGCTTCTGGGTCCAGAGGCCTGGCTTGGGGCTGTGAAGCTGGAGGTCGTGGGGATGGTGTGGGGGCAGAAACAGCCTTGTTTCTTTTTCTTTTTCTTTTCTTTTTTTTTAATGTTTATTTATTTTGAGAGGGAGCGAGAGCGAGAGCCCAAGCAGGGGAGGGGCAGAGCGAAATAGAGACCGAGAATCTCACGCAGGTTAAGGGAACAGAGACAGAGAATCTCCTGGTCAAGGGAGCCTTTTCATGGGTCCCTCCGGACCCTGGGAATCTTGTCTGCCCTGGCAAACCCTTCTGTGCCACGTTGCCCTAGGCGGAGCTGGTCACCAGGAACAAGGCCCTGGGTTCTGGCCAGCCAGGCCCCCGAAAGTCTTTCCTCTCCAGTCTCGTCCAAGAAGGATGAATAGTGAGTACGCTGTCCCATGCCCACTGCCACCTCACCACAAAGAGTTTAGGAGGTAGACACCCAGAGGGATGGGGCCAGTGTCCGCGTTGTTTGATAAAGTAGGAAAGTGAGGTTCAGAGAGACTTGACGCCTTACTTGCCAAGGTCACCTGCTAGGAGGGGGCAGGTGCTCCTGCCCCACCTCGTTGCCTACCAGGGTGAACTGGGAACAGTGGAGTCCGGGGGGTGGGTGGGCTCGGTGGGTAGACATCTCTGAGGGGTCCCTTTCCAGGAGAAAACCGCATCCTCTCTGTGCGCAGGCAAATCCGGCATCTGAAGCAGAACAACCCCACACAAATCAAGGACAGCTGGGCCTGCCCTTGGCCGCAGCCCCCTCCCCTCGGCCCCCCTTGCAGGCTCCAGGACCCCCGCAGACTGCGGGAGTCGGGCGAGGGGGTAAGGGTGTGGTTCTAGCGAAGGGAGTTCTGGAAGCCCCGCATGTGTGAAATCTCCCCCAGCTGTCCCCCGTGGAGGGAGGGACCGCACGGTGTTAGGGATCACTTTCCAGAGTGGGGCAGCTGCTGACGCACCCTGCTTGTGGGGGCCCACGCTGGGGGTGCCCGCCCTGGGGAGGGGACAGTCTGCGAAAGAGGAAGAGAGGAGCCCGGGGGCGGGGCGCGCACATAGACTCCGTCACTCACACACTCACTCACACAGCCAGGCCACTCAGTCACTCGACAAACATTCATGAGTGCTCACCGTGGTCAAGACTGACCCCGTCCCCGCCCTTGCCGCGCTCACGGGGAGGTGGAGACAGATGGGGTCCAAAATCACCCACCAAGGGAGTAATTACAGTCAGTGGAGGGGACTCAGATATAGCTGGGCAGCTGGGTCATGGGTCTGTGAGGCCAGGCTGGGCCTTCCTCTTGCCGTGACCTCGCTCCCCAGGCCTCTTCCCTGGACTCGCCCCTGTGTCCCCCTCTGCTCTGACCTTCCCTGTCGTCTCCTCCAGGGACGCTGTTTACTAGCGGGCCGCAGCTCGGGCCACTCTTCCCCAGTGCTGCCTCCTCCCAGCCAGCTAGCACAGCAGACCTGACTACCTCAATGTCTGATGGTTGGCCTAAGGAGGACGGACAGACGGACCTCTGCCTGGCCATCCTGCCTGGGCAGGGGGTCCAGTCTGGGCAAGGGGGGATTGAGCCATGTTGGACCCTGAAGGCCAAGGGGCCCTCTGAGGAGATCCAGCTGGCAGAGAAGCTGGCTGATGCATTTCTTCTTCACAGTGGAGGTGAGACCGGACAGGGCGGGAGGTGAGCGAGCCTCTCAGGGTGCAGGGACAGCTACAGGACCGGTGCTCCCATGGCCTGGTTTCTTTCAACTCACTTCCTGCCACGTGGCTCAGAGCGGGGGATCCACTGTGTCTAGACCACACAGAGAGGTGCCAGTGGAGAGCTGGGGCTGGACCCTGATGGCAAGGTAGGGCGGAGGCAGATCGGAGGGGCCACTCCGACATCCTGGGAAGGAGGGAAGGCGGCAACCCCCATGTGTGAGGAGGCTTGCCTGACCATCACTTCCTCCAGAAAGCCTTCCCTGACCTCTTCCTCCATTCACAGCCTTCCACTAGCCGGTCATTGTCAAGTGCCTATTTGGTGCCAGTCTCTGTTAGGTGCTAGGGACCCCCCGGTGAGCAAATGTCCCAAGGCTGCCTTCCTGGGTGTCCCCAGATTTGCCCCCACCTGTCACTTGATGGATGGTGGCTGGAGGGAGGGGCTCAGCTAGGAAATTATCCTTGTCCCCGGACTCCATTCCCCAGCCCCCAGCATGTCCTGCTGTCGTTGATAAGTTGCTTCTGGAAAATCCTCAAGCAGGTGTGTGTGTCAGGGGTTGGGGGGCTGAGGAAAAGCCATTCTCAGTAGGAGGAACAGCATGAGCCAAGGCTGGGAGGAGGAAGCCACTCTCCCTGTGCCAGGGCCGGGAGACAGAGGGGCCGTCAGGGTCGAATGCTGGAATCTGGAGCCCTGAGAGGGGCCTGCTGAGACTGTGAGTGGGTGCTCCAGGTGGAGCAGGGCCCCACCCAGGACAGGTCTAAGGAGAACCAGTCTGTCTGGAACAGATCCCCTTTTAAGCTAGACCAGAAGAAGAACTTCCTGTGACCCTGTGTGTATCAACATGCACCCCAGACAGTACTGTGCCAACGACCCGCCTACAGGGCTCCTGGCTGAGTCTTGCCCTGACAAGCAGGTGCAGGCCTGTGTCTGGGATCCGGGCTGGGGCCCTGATCAGCGGCCTTCATGCCACTGGCTCTGCAGAGCCGCCTTAGTTCAGGGCTGCCTCTAGGTGGGAGACCTGGAAATGCCTGTGGGTCACAGAGGCCCCTGGCCTTTGGAGAGGCCCCAGGTTTCTGGGACTTGCCCAGATGCCATTGGTGCCAGGAACAAGCAGAACCCAGGGCAGTGGCCTCTGAGCAGCTAGTGAAAGGTCGGCCTCTCCTAGGAGCCCATGCCCATGGGGCACCAAGCTTCAGTGAGGAAGCCCTGGGCAGAGACATAGAGAGGACACCGTTCCTTTTCCGTCTCTCCCTGGGACTGTTGCTCCTGGAGCCCTTTCCTTCTCTGCTTTCCTTGTGCTGTGTGGGGGGTTCAGTGAACCTGGGGCTGCATAAACTCCCCACAGAGTGTCCAGCACCCAGCAGGTCCCATAACTGTGAGCGGCCCCTGGCCCCTGAATGTCACTGCACCTCAGCAGGAGCTCCTAAGATAGAACCCAGGCTCCTCCTTCCGGTCTCCCATCCCACCTCTCCAGAATCTTCTCATCTTCAGGAGTCACTTTGCCAGCATTAGAGATGGGTCCCTGACATCCCAGGGCAACGCCAGGTGGACTGGGCTGCAGAGACAGACGGTGTGACATGGTAGAAAGGGTCAGGAGACAGATCTGAATGGGGCCTTGGGACAGACGCCTGTCGTCCCTGAGCCTGCTTCCCAGGACCCTAAAATGGTAATCGTATTGGACAACCGTCTCCGGCCGTCAGGGTTGGGACCCTGATGAATGGCAAGCCAACTGTCAGGAAAGCGCGCCCCATTCTCCCCCTCAGACTTCCCTCAACATTCCCGGGAACGCCTCGGCGCAGTAGGGCCCGGGTCCACACTCACCCGCGCACCTGCTGCTACGCCCTTGTCCGGGAGGGACTGGGATCCGCCTTCTAAGAGCCGGTCCTTCATCTCAGTCCTGTCACTGCCCTGAGACCCGACCCGTCGCCGCAGCATCCAGGCGCGCAATGGTGATGACCCCGAAGCCTCGCAGGCTGGAGCCTAGGTCTCCAAGAGGGCGCGACAGGTAACCTCTGGGGCTCCAAATCA